TTAGGGGGGCGGGGGGTCAGATGGCAGAAACACAGTACAGGCAAGCAGTTCAGTGCAGGCTTCTTCATGAAGGGCCGTTTGTGTGAGAGACCTCTGTAGAAATGGCTGCTGGGCTCTGTTTTTTAAAATTTGAGCCCAATTAGTCACCAGGAGCCCTTCTTAGTGGGTGTCTTCTTTCTTAGCGTTCACAATTCAAATACACAACCAAACTCTTCGGTTGAAGACTCAACCAAAATTTTTGCCAAGGACCATGCACTCCATCCTGTGTGACCTCAGAATCAAAGATATCAGATATCAAAATAAATATTTGATGATGAAAACCAGGGAAGAGATAGACATTTTCAAATCCAATCTTTAAGATAAAACTATTCCTCAAAGTTTCAAATGCCCTACTACAGAGAGATGCAATTCTATAAATTAAGATATCAAAAGCTAAAATATACTATTAAAGTGTAGTTGAGTTCAAAGGCTATTCCAAACTTCATAGCCTGTGAAACAAATCTAAATATAATGATTTTACATGAATCAACACAATGATTATCAGCAAAATAAAATAAATTATAATAAATGTTCTTACTCGTACATAAAAAGTAACAAATTTCGCTTTATAGAATTAAAAGCAAAATAAGCTTGAGAAATAAGCTGTGGACACTTTGTTCATTAAAATGTAAGCAGGGTAAAGTATGTAAAGTGGTAAGCCTGCTAGAGAAGTAAGCCTTTTTATTTTGAACAACTCTAAACTCACAAACCATGGACATTTAAGTAACATCCAGATAATATTTGAGCTTCTCTAGTTGAGCGTGCAAATCAGTAAATCGTGTATATAATGGATGATTAGGTGAGCACAATTGGAGTCTGTGCCTGCAATCCAAATTTACATGCTTAATCATCATACTTGTATTTCACTGAGAATGCTTTACACACACATATCTAAATTGTAAAGGTTTCATGCATATACGTTTTTATACCTATGGTTTCTATTTCTGATCCAAACAAATAACCCCCTTGTATATTTTCCTTTGAAGTTAATCTCATTTTCTATATCATTATATATGTCATATAAAACCCTCGGGCTGCTGGGTGGACTATGGATTCATTGTCTGTCATTTTTTTGGTTATATCTGTGGACCCTGCCTCGGAGCTGGGAGCACTGTAGCATCGAGTGAGGGAGAGATCGGGTTTCTGCCTTGTGAACATGCTTTTTTCAATGGCCTCCTTTCCCCAATACTTTCTTAAACATTTCAAACACCTAAAACAAGAACTAATTTTTTTTTAATTTGGTAAAGAATAATATGAGACATACATTTACACTTGAACTCTCGCTTCAATACAGCTAATTATTAAATTCATGCTTTGCATATCCATTTCCGTTTGGGAGATGATCCTTAGGAATCATTTAACAACAGGTTTACAGAGGGGGAAACTGAGGTTCCATCAGACTACATGTTTTTCAAACGCCCTTGCTTTCTAACAACTTTCCAATGGACCCCATAGAAAAGAAGAAGATGATATGCTCTGTTTATTCATACAAAAGACCTACCAAGGAGTCTGGTTCAGCCCTTCACAAGGTTCAACAAGACTTCCCCTCTTGTAGACTGGACATTTCTATTTGTACGCCTCTCCTGTATTCAACAAGTGTTTCCTCTTTCTTCCTAAACTTATTCCCCATATCATTTCTGGGTCACACACTCAGGAACAACTCTTCCTTCTGACACCCTCACGTGATCATCAACAAGCCCTTTCCATTCATTCTTCTTTTCACTTGTCCCTCTTTCTGATTATTGGTTTCCACCCATCACATCTGGCCCTTTGAACATCACGTCAGACTTACCGCACGAGCAACTCCCTCGTCTTGTTACCGCACATCCTGTTCTCTGCAGTCCATCTACATTCTACACCATAGGATTCATTCAAAACCGCCTTCATTATGTATTTGCATCTGTCTATTGCTTAACATAAAATAAATTTAACCATAACAAATAACAAGCATCAAGGGTCTAATATAGTGCCAGGTGCTCTGCGTAGTGTGTTACATCAGTTACCTCATGATAATCTCATGGAGATAGAGTCTGGCTAACTCTACTTTATAGATGAAGAAATTTAAGTTTTGAGACATTGATAAATTTGCCCCAGCTCACATCGTTAGTGGATCTAGTGGTGTTCATGCACAAGAGGCGATTCTGGAACTTAAACTATTAGCTGCTCTCCTAAAGAGATGCAGGAGTGTCTCCTGTGGCCCTCAGAGGGGCAAGCCATTTGGAAGGGGCAGAGTAAAAGTGAGGACAACAAGAAAAGGTATCCTTAATCTTCTAGAGTGTGTATTTACCGGAGAAGTAACTTGGAGAACCACGAGTTGTTTTCATCGAGAGTTTTCTGCCTTTTGCCTCTGTATTTCTTTTCACTTAAATAAATGATGGTTTTTTAATGTCTGAAACAGTAGAAGCAGGATACTAAGTTTCCAAAGGAACAGAAGTTTGGCTTGTGAAAAATTTAACAAAACATTATAATTAATAAATGGAACCATCGCAGCCCATACACACACCAAAAAAAAAAAAAAAAAAAAGGTTTGTTTTCTTCTGTAAAGAGACATTCAAATAGAACAAAACAGACTTTTAATGGCTTTCCTTAGCAAACATTTTTGGTATACTACATTTGGTAATCAGTCAAGGAAGGGACACGATTACTTTTAACTACGGACAGAAGGATAATGTAAAAGTTGCATTTCAAAATTCTATTTGGAGATGTAATTTGTGTCAGAATCAAAGCCCATCACACAGACTGATAGGCTTCAGGAAATCCAAAAAAAAAAAAAGTAAAACCAGTGTACAGACATGTTTTGGTTTTCTATTATATGTATTTGACACCAGTCAGGAAGATTGAACCCTTTCGATGTGGCATGTGGTGAGACATGGAAATCCCACAAGTGTCCCTCTACACTCTCCACTCTTCACTCAAGACCCTGGGAGGCTGGGTCATTAGGTTTAATACTGGAGTCCAGGAGCTCCCCACATAATTTTATTCTTGTTCATGTTCGACTTTCTCAATTGTAAGCATCAGAAACCCATTCTGGTTAAGCAGAGAGAGAATGTGTCAGAGCAATCTTGGGGAGCTCAAAATAACAAAACATCTCCGAGCCAGGCTCAGGGTCAGCTCAGCATCAGTCAGGCAGTGGCCAGCTTCAGGTGTCAAGGACTCGAGACCGCCTTGACCGTCTCTGCCTTCAGGACACTGCACAGGATCAAGTGAGCACCGTCTTTTACATCCTTGTAACCCCACGTGTACAAAGATAAGGTGATGGGTTTTGTCTGGGAAAATGCCCACCTGTTGGCTAAGGAAGTGCAGAGACCCCTCTTCAAAGCCCCAGTAAGACTGCAGAGGTGAGTGACATCGTTCTTCAAAAAGAAATCAGGGCACTGTTTGGAAAGGGGAGTGGTTGGTGGGCAGCCAAAAACCCAATGGTAAGCTGATGTAACAGAGGTTGCTACAGAATTGCAAGTTTATTCTTTTTAGAAACAAGAATGTAAGATTATTTGATCTGGAAAAAGAGAAAACCATGGAATCTTTTCATTACTTTTTCACATCTTCATATCATTGTTAAGAAGAGACTGATCAGTTCTTTTCCATCAGACTAGGAGTTGAACAGAGTTCAGTTAAATGAACCCAGGGTCTGATTGAGCTAAAATGTAAACAAGATCATTTGCTCATCATGCAAACTTTGATAGTGATAAAGGGGATAGAACAATAAACAGTGGGTAAGCTAAACTTTTCTTCCACTGCATTTTTAAAAGATGTAGATTCCAAGATCTTGAAAGTAGATTGGAGATTATCTAAGACAAATGCATCATTTCATAGGTTAGGAAAGAGATTCCGAAAATTGAAATGAGTTGTCCAAGGTCACATTACTACTCGGTATCAAAAAACAAATCCACTACCCAGATTTTCTGATTCACAGTCACACTCACTACTCTTTATTCTTTTCTTAGACCTCATATGTCCTGGTTGATTTAGACACTCACTGATTAAAGATAGCTTCTTGAATTTGCTTTTGATTCCATCATCTACAAATTTATGATTTGAGATAACTTTATTTCCTCAACATGTATACTTTAAAGTGCAATATTTCATCAAGTTAGTTGGCCATTAATTATAACATGCACCTCTAGGAGGTCAAATCCGGGCACCGTGCTTTCTTACCACTTCGGGTTTTTATTTTACACCGAGTGAAAGGACACTTCTAAACTCATTAACACTTGGGTTTTTATCATGCATTAATTCCTGTTCACAGGTGAAGAGGAAAATATAAGCAAAATATATTTTAATACAGTTTCTAAAAACTTCCGCACATGTGGGATTGAACCTTCCTGAATGACATTTCATCTCAGAGCCACTGATACCATGTTACCAATGTCAATCTCTATGCTTCAAGAGCACAGATGATGCATCATTTCTTAAAACTGTCTCTAGCCTCTTTTTTTTCTTGCTGCTGACACCATTCTGCACTCATGTTCCTTCTTCAAAGAGTCCTGATGGTTTTCGACTGAAATGTCAAGAGGTTGCCACTGTCCAGCCAGGCCCCCAATAACAATTAAGCTCACACTTGTACATAAAAGTACACCATCCCGCCCTGGCCGGTTTTGCTCAGTGGTTAGAGTGTCGGCCTGCGGTCCAGAGACACCCAGGTTCCGTTCCCGCTAAGGGCACGTACCTTAGTTGCAGTTTGTCCTCGGCCCTGGTTGGTCGTGTGGGTGGCAGCCACTCGATGTGTCCCTTTCACGTCGATGCTTCTCTCTCTCTCTGTTCCTCTCTCTCCTTCCCACTCTACCTGAACAAAAAATGGGAAAATGTCCTTGGGTGAGAATTAAAAAAAAAGTACACCATCCTTACAACAGCCACCTGGTTAACAGCCATTGTAAAACTCCATTGAGTACAACGCAAATCCTAATTTCAGCTATGTTAAATGTGGAAGGGAGGCGGGGTCTGGAGAAGGGGTGGCAGGCACTATGTCTGACCGCAAAGATGGAAAGAAGAAGCCCCTGAATCAACCCAAGAAGCAGGCCCAGGAGATGGACGAGGGAGAGAAGGCATTCGAGCAGAAAGAGGGCCAGAAGACGCTGGAGGAGATAAAAGCAAAGGCCACGGGGAAGGGCCCCCCGGCTTCAGGCGGAATTGAGAAATCTGGCAAAAAGTGAGCTGCGCCTTGCGCCTGGGGCAGTGGTGATCCTTAATTCCATTCCTGCCTCAACATCTGGATCCCTGTCATAACATCTGTTGCCACTGATAGCTGGAATGACGTGTTGTCTCAGAGCTTGTGGTACATTTAAGAATAAACTTTTACCCCTGGCAAGTGTGGTTCAGCTTATTGGAGCACCATCTCTTACACCAAAAGGTTGCTGGTTCGAGTCCTGGTCAGGGCACATTCCTAGGTTGTTGTTTCAATCCTCTGATCTCTCTCTCTCTCTCCTTCTCTAAAAGATCCATTTAAAAAAGGAAGAAACTTTTGTAAAATAATAATAATCATACAGTGGCTCATCTCTTCATTTCTTCTCACTCAGCCATTTCAACCTTAGCTGCGAGGCTGGAGTAGACCCAGCCCAAAATTCTGCCAAAGCGTGTTCTCCGATCCTTGTCCTACCCCAGATACGGCACCACCCGGAATTAGAGGAACTAATTTGAAATGGCAACAGAATAAAAGTGAAAAAACATGTGCATTAGAACATGAATGTTATAATGATTTTTTTTTATTTTAGCCCCTGAAATGAGTATGAGGAAATAGCTTCCTCATTATTATAAAATTTGCTAAGCCTTGTTATATGACCACATACATGTAATTGATGTTTTATGATGCAAGTAGAGTAAGCCTCCTCTGGTCATTTCCAGCTGACATCCATGTGGGGCCTGGACAGGCATCTGTGCCCTTCCTGTTCCCCAGGCTGTGCGGCAGGAAATGCTGTTATACATATACTGGCCTCCACGTAAGTAGATCGCAAGTTGATTGTTCAATTTTCTGAAAAAGTGTGGACTTTTCCAAAATTAAATAATTCTCTTCTCCCTTTTTGGGCTCAAAATCTTCTACGGAGTTCCTATCGAGAAATTTGTATTTTCTGTAATAAACCTAGATTTACACACAAATAAAGTTTAACCCACAATGATGAGCACAGTTCTGCTCGCTTCCTAAGAAAACCCTAGCATGGCCCGGCCGGTGTGGCTCAGGTGTTGAGCGTCGACCCATGCACCAAGAGGCTGCCAGTTCAATTCTCGGTCAGGACACATGCCCAGGTTGTGGGCCTGATCCCCAGCGGGGGGCATGCAGGAGGCGGCCAATCAATATTCTCTCTCATCAATGTTTCTATCTCTCTCTCCCTCTCCCTTCCTCTCTCTCTAAAAATCAATAAAAGAAAAAGAAAAAGAAACCTAGCATGTTGCTCACAGTGTGACCCATGGAGACGCAGCCATAGCAGCACCTGGGAGCCTGTTAGTAATGCAGACCCCAGCTCACCCCACTCACCCCAGACCCACAGAGCCAGAATCGTCACATCACCAAGATCCCTAGGGAGACACGGGCACATTATAGTTTGAGAAGCAATGGTCTAAAAGATGCACTGTTCACTTAGCGCTGAGTACACACTTCCCAGAAACTTGGGTTGCTGTAACCGTTTTGTTGCCACAGCTGACATAAGTAGCAATCAGGTTCTGAGGCAAGTGCAGGCTGACTGCTAGCTCCTCGCAGAGCTTCAATCTTCAGAGGTGAATGGGGGTGGGGGGAGTGGGTAGTGAAGGGCACAAATCTTTACCAAGGTTACTGAATCTTCAAGTAGTGGAATAACGAAGAGGCAGAGAGACAGTGAGCTCGAGGAAAAACTCTCTTAGCTCAGTCATCCACTCTGTTTCACCAGCAGTATTGACCAGCCTCTGCATGCCTCATATTTAATCTTTCTACTTCTCTAAAACCTTTCTTCTCACACTTTGCTCTCCTTATGCAGTCTGGCGTGACTGTCTAAAACAAGAATTATTTACCAGGAGTCCGGGGATTGCCTTTAGGAAGCCCATAAATCTAATGATAGGTTTAAAAATAGGGGTGTGGGCATATGTACATTTTCATAGGGGAAAAAATCCATGCTGTGATCAGAATTTGAAAAGAGATTCCAACCAATCAATCAATCATTAAGAACCATTAGCACTCTAAGTAATATCTACCCACCATCTATTTTAAAGTCATTGACATAAACATTTTAGTGTCAAAACTTATCCTATTCCACTTGGAAACTGGCTCAGTATGAGACAAATAATACTCCAAACCCAGTTTTGTGCTGCTACATACCATTTTTCAGGGGGGAAAAAATCAACAACAAAACATGGAGTTGGAAAAAGATCATCTCACTTAACTAGAAGAGGATCTAACTTAACTACATAATCATGTCGGCATCACTTCCCATGTGGTCGTTCTCCATTCCTTCGTGCCATGTCATCTTTCATTCTTAAAGGAACATTGATGTCATCATTATGTCCTAGTTATATTGTTCTACATTCTATCCTTCCCCCCTTGTCTCTGTCCATTTCAATATCTCATTCAACAGCAAAGAAAGGTCAGGATTGGCTCTGGTGGGCTATCACAATATGCACCATCCTCTCACTCTTTGCCAAGATGCCCACAATGGGTGGTGTCTTTTAAGGCTTTTGAAATCATCAAGAGAAATCAAAGAAACCATTTCCAATCCTATCTTTACAACCAGAAGCCCATTGATCAGTGTAGGTAAAGGGATGGCACATCAAGGGGGAATGGCATTTAGAAAGTATGATTTGATCCACACAGCTGAGTGATCACGGCAAGCTCAAATCCCATCTGAACTGGGCAATAAATCTATAGTCCTGTCAGCGCTGAAATATTTCATTCATGAGGCACAGATAAGAAATCACCTCTAGTTGCCATTAATTATCAAGCACATTTGCTTTGCAGAGATCCATGTATAGAGTTTTACAATTAAGAGAACAGTGTAGACCAGCCCATGTGGCTCAGTGGTTGGGTGTCAACCCATGCACCAAGAGGTCACCGGTTAGATTCCCAGTCAGGGCACATGTCCAAGTTGTGGGCCTGATCCCCAGTTAGGGGCATGCAGGAGGCGGTCAATTAATGTTCTCTCTCATTGATGTTTCTATCTTTCCTTCTCCCTTCTTCTCTCTCTCAAAAAAAAAAAAAAATCAATAAAGAAAAAACATTTTCTAAAAAAGAGAACAATGTAGCCCCAGAAATTTAGTACCATCAAATATCTAACATCAAGGACTGAATTCTAGTTTTCTAAATGTCTGGGAAATTTGCTCCCAAACATTTTGCCACTCTGGGACTCAGTTTATTTATCTTTTAAAAAAAGAAAGAAAAAAAAAAAGAGTTGCATTTATATTAGAATGGCCAAAATCTAGAACACTGACAACACCAAATACTGACAAGGATGTGGAGCAACAGAAACTCTCATTCATTGCTGGTGGGAATGCAAAACGGTACCGTCACTTCAGAAGACAGTTTGGTGGTTTCTTACAAAACTAAACATACTCTTAAAATCCAGTACGTAGGTTCCTTGGTATTTACCCAAAGACACTGAAAACTTGTGTTCACACAAAAAACCTGCACATGTATGTTTATAGCAACTTTATCATAATTACCAAAACTTGGAAGCAACCAAGGTGCCCTTCAGTAGATAAAGGAATAAACAAATTGTGGTCCATCTAGACAAAGGGATATTATTCAGCACTAAAAAGAAATGAGCTCTCAAACCATAAAAGGACATAGAGGAAACTTAAAAGCACATTGCTAAGTAAGAGAAGCCAATTTGAGAAGGACACATACTATGTGATTCCAACTATATGACTCTCTGGAAAATGCAAAATTACGAAGAAAATTTAAAAATCAGTAGTTGCCAGAGGTGGGAGGAACAGGAGAGAATAGGCAAAGTACAGAAGTTTTTAGGGCAATAATAATACTCCGTATGATGTTATAATAATAGATATGTCATTGTATAGTTTCCCAAACCCACAGAATGTACAAGTCCAAGAGTGAACTCTAAGGTAAATTGTAGACTTTGGGTGATGATGATGTGTTCGTGTAGGTTCATCCTCGGTATAAAATTCTGGTTCCTGATGGTGATAATGGGGGGGGCTATGCATTTATGGAAACGTGAGGAACTCATTTTTTTCCATTTTATTGCAAACCTAAAACTGCTCTAAAAATATAAAAACTTTTTTAAAAGCATTGCATGAGCTGTTCTCAAAAGAAACAGGTTGGAGTAGAGGTTGAAATCTTGAACTTGGTGATAAAAGAGACTTGGGTACAAATTCAAACTCTGACACTCACCACCTCCTGAGCTTGTTCAAATTACACAGCTATGCTAGGCCTCACTTGTTCATTTGTACAATAGCGGTGATAACTGTTCTGACCTTAGGAGGTATATGAAATACGTAATATAATTTAATAATAAGGTCAGAATTCCAAGGACGTATTTACATATCTAATTATGGAAAAAGGTTTTCCCTTAGTCTGAGAACTATTCTCCCTACTTGTGTTACTGTAAATATCAACTGAGATAACAGGTCAAAGTACTTGAAAAACTGCTCATTACTGTATTGATATGTGGAAGTATTATTGATACTATTTCACCCCTCTTACTTTTAGAGATACTAAATAAAAACAATCCCAAGGATAATTCTTTTATTTTAAATATCAAACTAAGTAATGGAAATTAAAATTTTTTTAAATACCCTAGTTCTAGCACATTTGATTGGACAGAGATTTAAAAGAATATGTCTCTAAAAACCTTCAATGATAAAGATAAATTTAAAACAAATAAAAGTATAAATAAGTAAAAATAAGTACAAATATCTAAACAACCATTTAAAAAGTAGACTGACAAACATATATGCATATATGAATAATCAGTGGACACAGACAATAGTTATGAAGGTAGAGGTGGAGGGAGCAGGGAGCAGGGGGTCAGTGGGGGGAAATGGGGGACATCTATAATACTTTCAACAATAAAGATACTTTTTTGAAAAATTGAATGACATTAACTCATATGGAGGTTGTTTCTTTTTTATTTTCAATAGTATTAAGATGAATCAGATTCTTTTTATTAGGCATAAATTTTAATAAGAGCTGTGATATCACAGTGAAAATTATGCTAAGCCAAATAGACTTTAATTC